TCTAGTGGAGTGGAAAAGAATGTGAACAGAATATGAGGAAAGGAATGATCCTTAATGTTTTTTTGTAATTATTGAATTGAATAGATAAACAAGTTGTGAAAAAACAACTTGGTCAGAATTTTTTGACAGGAAACTACATGGTACATCTGGTTGTACCTTCCTCTTGGTACATCATGAAAACCTTGTAATTAAAAAATATTTTAGAATGAACACTACGTTATTTCAGAATGAACGCTACTTGGTTTCAGAATTTAGAATGACACTATGCTAAGCAGGCTTCATAATGAACACTACGGTCGAAAATGAACATTCTTTTGATTCAAAATGAACATTCAGTTCATTCAAAATAAATATTCGCCGGATGTACCTAGCTCTACGTACAACCGGGTATACGGTATATATTCTCTTTTTTGACATGTCTAATTTGAAATCCATTAGCGTAGCATTTCAAACATTAATCCAAAAATGATTTTTAAAATCAATTAAATGGATTTTTGTTGAAAGTATTGAAAAAAGGTTCATTGATCACCATTGATTTGAGAGTAGAACAGAGAACGGCAATCTTTGTATCGGTCATGCCCACATACATCCCAAAGCTCAACGAAAAAGTCTCGCTCACTGTCCGTTTGAATGCTACTTGAAGAGCTACCAGGATTCCCATAAGTAGTATGCTACAAGGAAATCAAAACAATAAATACAATAAGATATTGTTGCATCTCTGTACAACTGAAATTAAGAATAGAAGCACACTATATCCATATCTTACCTTTACGCTTACTGAACAGCCAATTGTTTGAGGAGGGCGAGCAATGGAAGAACCTTTGTTAATAAGATGAACAAGAGAGGTCTTTCCTACACCTATACAAGTACAAATGTAAATGTAGAGGTCAATATGAAGGACAAAGTAGTTGCTGAAAACCAGAAATGTACTTCAGCATGTATTTAATTAATCACTGGACCCAATCAGTGAATGTAGCATGGATATATGGTGCAGTAAAGCTTCACCAAGTATCAGCTAGCTAGATAGTTAAAGTTTACATTGCTTTTATAGTCAGAAAGTGTAATCTTAGAAAGCTACAGTTCAAAGCAAGCAATAATTAGTAGAATAAATTTATGTACAGGTCATTATTTCTCATTCAATGTTCATGCTCAAAATACATCTGGGAAAGTCTTTGATGCTTTCACTCCCCAGCCATAGCTTATTCTTCTACTAAGGACTGTGAATTTCAATTCCTTAGCCAGCTACTCACAAAATTTGTAATTTTTTCACTGAAGTGATGATCTACCACTTAGTTTCTGTCTATATAGGAAGTAAGATAGTTCCACGAGTCAGGATTCTTTATACAGTTCAATCTTTCAATACAAGGTAATCATCCATTCGAAATAACCGACAGGACTAAGTCTTAGTTCTGCTCAATTTGAAACTTTTGGATTCTAAGGACTGATGTCACACTTCCAACTTATCATTGAGTCCTACATGTGTCTCATCAATCAAAACAGCCGACCGTAAATAGAACGTACATTGGTACCTCTCCTAGATATGGTGCGTGCAAGCATCAACACCGATACAAACAAAGGACTTAGGGTAGACCCATGGTGTAACCCCATATCCACCAAGGGATCAGAGTCACCCTGGTCCTCAATCTGACATATATGCATATCTGGTTAGAGACTATGGAAAATACATTCACTTTGTATGACCCCTTTAATTTGTATATCTATCGACTATCATATCTAATACTCCCTCTGTCCCACAAAGAAACTCACACTTTCATTATTCGGATGTCCAAAAAAACCTTCACTTTTAGTGTTTCCTTAAAGGTAAAGAAAATGTGGCCTAAAAAACTTCTCACTTTCTAGCAAATTTCACCTGCACACCTTTCACTTTTCAACACCTTCCTTAAACACTCCGTAAAGTCAAACACCGAAGTTCTTTACGGGATGAAGAGAGTATTGATGTAAGTGCTTCAATCAAAGACTCTTTCATTATGATATCTAATTTCCATGTGTCTGCAACAAACAACCCAACATAAAATGCACTTACGGTACCGAACTCCAACCCTCCAGAAAAGAACAGTCTGAATTCTGCATCTCTATACAGCATAACAAAAGGTTGTGTGCCTTCTATCTTATTACCATTACTTGACAGAACCAGCACCATAGACTAACAAACGAGGGTGTTTACTCTGCCAATTTACAAAGTAGACTTTCTCGTTCTAATCTACCGCTCAGTGATTTTCCCCAAAATATGGACCATATCTTTGGAAATCGAGAAGAGCCTCGACTACAAGGAAACAGCTTATATCATTGATTGACACATTTCCAGCTCTCATACATTTCCAAATCAAGTAACTTCAAACAGCTCACAGGTTCCAACCACTGAATCAATAGTTAGTTACACTGTACATGGTAAACAGAACAAAAAAGAAACAAAATACAAACAAGTTATTTGACACGATTACACGGTTTGGTATTACCAAGAGATTGCATGTTCAAGCTTGAGTACCTGAGTCTCCAACAACAAGCACCCTGACCTGTCCGCAAGGGGGGCCGCCATTAAGCTCTTTGTTTTCCCTCTCCCTTTCCCTCCAAAACATATTCTCCTGCTCAAAAAAACTTCAACTACTACTAACACGAGCAGGATAAACTCATCTAAACTCAAAAGCTTCCTTCCAATCCTCAGAATCTAAGACAAAACCTGCTCCGCTCTCCTGGTTCCCACCGCTGGAGTTGTCACAGTGATTTTTGCCCGCCGCTTGTGGCAACGTCAAATGGGCAGGACAACGAGAAAGAGGTAGTTTCCGGCTGAGCTCCGATGGAAGGCGTTTGTATTCAGGGAGGGATCGAAACTTCGGTTCTATGAAATTGTGATCAGCGAGACTGAAAACGCGGAGAAGTTGTGGAACGGTGGCTCCCAGGAAGGAGTTTCAATCTGAACCTCCCCGGCAGCGACTCTTGTTGGTTCGTCTAGGAGATCAAAGCTAGATACCAGATCGACGCCGGATCTGAATTCTGAAATGGAATCTTATGCCTATTGTATACCAAACTTTTCTTTTGTACTCACTCCTAAAAATCGGAGGAAATGGGTACGGTGTGTTCAATATGTTGCAGTAGAATATTATAGTAAATCACAAAAAATAAAAAAAAATTACTCCATAACAAATTAAAATTGAATAAATAATATTTTGACTTAAATTTAATTGGAAATTAAAGTATGCTTCAATTTGACTTTACAAATTGGAAACGGATGTAGATATATTAAATATCCGACCGATGTCCGACGGATGCGAATACAGTTTTAATTTTTAGCAATCGTCAAGATACGTATCCGAATTCCGTATCCGATAAAAATAAACGAATTCAGATCCGGTAATGACATATCCGATCTGATTTAAACTCATTTACACCTCTAACAAATTGAGTGTAAATGAATCATAGCTTCGTGAATATACAAAAGTTGTATATTAAATGTACTACCTCACAGCAAACCCGGACGTAGACGACGAGAAGAGAAGGCTGGCCGAGTTGTTAAAAGAAGCACGCAAAGTTAGAAACAGGAAAGCTAAATCCCTTGAAGTCCTGCTGGCTATCAGATCTCTTGCACTACAAATGTGTTTATAACTTTTAACTGCAGAAGAGGCTACACATTTTAACTGCAGAAGAGCGCAGTGTGTTGTACTCTGAGGCCCTCCTTTCAACAGCACAAAGATGGGTTTGAGCTTCCTCTCTTGCTTCATGAAGACAATTCTTCAAGTGAGCACAATTCATCTGTATCACATAAAAGAACATACTTAGAGTATTTCAGTGAAGACCGATTTGATAAACTCTGTGTCAAAAAAATGAAAATTGTTGAGCTACGAGGGTATTCGTTTTTTTAAAAGGAAAGAAGAATAAAAATGGTTCTTATTTCGTTTTATCTTCTATAAAAACTAGATTCGTACCCGTGCGATGCACGACCAAAAAACGAAGTTACAAATTTATGTAGAAGTGCTATTACCACGTATAAAAAATTTACTGAAATGATCATTACCAACCGTTGTGCATTGCAAAAAATATAAATGAAGGAGATATTATACGGAATACTTCATTAGATATAGAGATGCACAGAAGTATATTCCTGATACAAAATATCAAGGACCATGCTACACTTACACCAAAATTTGTACTCCAAACTTACACCAAAGGCATACACCAATATTTTGATAGTTCACACCGACACAAAGTGGTAGTGCGTTAACTAAAATTTACAATAACACAAAGTGTTGTGTTAACAAAAATTAGCATTACGCCAACAATAGCCTTGTGCGTGGCGGGGACAATGCCAGAGAGTCCGAGTGCCACGAAGACAGTGACCTTGAAGAATCTAAACTGGCCAAAGGTGAGGGCCAAGGAGAGGAGGGAGACGGCTGCAAGGGTGCCGAGAAGGGTGATCGAAGCAAAGTAGAAGATCTAGGAGAACGGGTGGCATTCAGAAAAGTAGTAAACGTGGGCGACAAATTAAAGGAGGCGACGACCATGAGGGAGATGCCGGACTGGTCGAGCCACCAGAAGAGGAGGTTGCACCGCCGTGAGTGTCACACCACGTCCGGTTGTTTGGCAGCTTTCCTTTTGGACAGACTCTTGATCATCACATCAACAGAAGAGGCATGCCACACATCCTACTAGTTCTTCTTGATTGAATTGGAATTGATTTTCTTTTTATTTGTTGTACTCAGCTATCTCTAAGAAGGAATGAAATACAAATTATAAAATGTTTACAAAATACCCACCAATGTTAGTACTCCCTTTTAATCTAAAAGTTATTTACATGGTCATTCTTTGACACATTTATTTTTGCACACAGTTATTTTGTTATTTTTAATTAAGTAATGCCCCACGCTTATATGTCCGGTGTATTAAAAAACACATGCAAGTACTGCAAAATAAAATATTTGCGACAAACAAAGCACATAAGTGTGGTTAATGTATTCATTAGACACACTTCTCCAAAAGTTCGGCATAAATTTCCCCTCCCCACATATCGATTACCACACTCGGGTCATGTGTGACAAACCTTTTTTCCCCACATTATCAAGTGTGTTAAACCACGGTTTTAGGTGTCGCAAAACACCAACTTTCTTGTAGTGTGATCGATGGTCATTGGCGGTGATCTACCACTAGGTATACTATAGCCTAATGCATAAACACCCAAGACTCATCATGGTTGTGATTGTCTATCACATTTTGACACTCTTTGTGACCACCAAATTCCACAAAGAAGGTTAGCTCACTTTACTCCACTCCCCTTGCCAACTTGGCGAGCAAGAGTCATTCTACTAAGTTTCACCCCATATAAGGCTCACAAAAAGATACCTTAAATCTTAATTACACTCTAAAAGGTGGCTCGACTAGATTACACCCCGCTTTGCATGTGTTTATTGAAAAAAGAATGCGGGAGTTGTAACATCTCTATGCTCTCGCCTTGGATCTGACTGTACCATCAACAGCTGGCATTGACAGGATGGCAATGGCCTCCCACTCCAGACTGCAAATCACGTCCTGCACCGTTATTAGAATATAACATGTTACTCATAATATAATGAATGAATGCACAGGCAAGGAACATGTCATCACTCCACATATATAATAAGTCTCCTTTGTTCATACCGAGGGATTTTGCTTATCGATGTCAAAGCTGTTGATGGCACATGGTTCGGCCAGAAGTTCAATAGGTTCTTCATCTGTGTAATCAAAGCAACACAAATGAATTGTGAACCAGAAAATAGTAATCCGGACATTGTAATGGAATACATACTTTGCTCTAATACACCAAGGATCCCATCCTCTGAACAAATCATGGCAGGAAGATAACATGAAGCTGAAGAGAGGGCACTTCTGGAAAAATGAGTACAGTCGTACTGAACCTCCCATACATCACTTTCCAACGGTGGCTGGATCAACGCATCCCTCGTTCCCATGCCCGAAAGAGCTATAGATTGTTGCCTACGAAGATCCCATACAAATACAGTACCAGAAGAACCTCCTGCCTTTAAAAAACAATAAAAAAAAAAGAGACATTCACATTGTTAGCATTGAGTTAGGTATTAATGTGAGTATGACATTTCCAAACGTTCAAATGCCAACGAAAGTAGTACACAAATAATCTTACTATATACGGAGTATAAAACAGAAACGAAAGTAGTACACAAATAATCTTACTATATACGGAGTATAAAACAGAAAATAAAATACTCTTACTAGAGACATTGACCTTGTTCACATTGAATTACGTATTATTAATGTGAGAATGACATTTCCAAACACTCAAATGCCAACGGAAGTAGTACACAGATAATCTCACTATATATAGAAAGAAAACAAAATATTTTCTGATTTTTCCCGCCTATATTTTCATGCTAGAGTCCAATTCTGCCAAATCATCTTATATTTGGGCCTTGCTTCACACCCGGGTTCCACCATGCAGCTGGCCTGGAAACCTACACTCAGTCACTCACCACCTTCCATTTCCTTCCGGAAGAAGAATTAGTCCAACCCTACCGCCTCCTCCTTTCCGGCATTCTCTACACCGCAACTTTAAACTGTCGGCTGGGATGATTTCAGTCCTCCGCACCTCTTTCAGCTCATGTTTTCCGAAAAGTTACTCAAGATAAACTCACCCTCTCTCTCTCCACTAACCCTTTCCGAAGCACAAGACCTCAACAAGAAGAGAGGAGGCAGATTCAGGTTAAGTATAATGCAATTTGTTCTTTCTATTTTAATTTATTTATATTTAGAGTAAGAGATATTCTTTTTGGTGGAAGGCGGCGAGATTCCAAAACGATCAGAGGCTTGGGTAACACCGACCCTAAGTCCCCTGAAGGTTTCTAACATCGACTGTGGCTGGACACAGACCAACGAGGACGCCATGGCAGGACATTACTCGTGCCTTATTGAGTTGCTGGGCCAGTAAGGTTGAATGTGCAAGAGAAGTAATCGAAAGGCTACCACATGATGGGAAAAGCCTGATAAAAATGTGTGGTATGCAATCTTAAGTGCCGGCAGAATTCATGTGAACAATGAGATTGGATTTGGTGTGCTCCCCAAGCTCCTTTAACATTTGAATCTTATGTTTTTTTTTAATTCAGAAAATTTGCTGCTTGAATTGCAAGCTCTCAGCAGCAACATTGTCATGAGGTACCACAATCTTCTTCTTATTATGTAAAAAAATGAAACTTTAAGTGATAAGTAATGAAATTAACCAGGAAAGCAAGAAACCAAGAACTGTGGCTAACGAATTCAGGATATGGGAGGATGAACTGTTGAAGAAATAGAAGAACAAGGTGGTCACCATAACAGATATTATTGATTTAAAGGAATCAAATAGTAATAATTCTTTTAGTAAAGTTTTGTTTTATGTGTTTGTAATTGATATAAAGGAAAAGGGTTACATGGTAATAATTTTTAAATTTTAAAAAAAGAATTGCGTCTTTATTAGCTATGTTTTTTTATTTATAACTGATTCAAAGGAAAAGGGTCAAATGGCAATAATATTTTTATTTTGTACCCATGAGTTGCATCTTCATTAGTACATTTTTTAACTTACTTATTGTGCATGGATTTTGTGTATATTTTGTAAGAGGTTAAAATGGAGAATATATTTGAAGAGAATGAGTTGTTGGATTTTGCCAGTGGAGATGCAAAGAATCCTCTTGCAGTTGTTGAGTACATTGAAGATATTTGGGCTTATTACAAAAAAAGGTAATAAATTACACAACTTTCACCCTCTCTAATATTGAACATATATAAACCTGCAATTCTTTTCATGTCTTGGAAACTTCAGCATCATGAGATCACAGTTGTGCTTTTTTTATTCCTTGGAAACTAATTGTTTACTGTGAAAGTGTGAAGATATCTTTTTACTCCCTCTTTCTAGATTGGTAAATTCTTAGATGGAACTATTCTACTTCCATTCCAGATTGGTAAACTTTTAGACATGAAAATATCTTTTTTACTCTTTTCAGAACCATTGCAGATTGGCAACATTGAGAATCGGGGATCTAAATAATTTCATAGCTCCAACTCAAGAATGTGTTGTTTCCCTAAAAATATTATTACACTATGTTAAGAGTCTGATTTGAACATTAAGGGTATTTGAGGATTGGGTTTTTGTCAGATTTGAGGATTAAGGGTATTTGAGACATTTTAATCTAATTTAACATTTCCCTTGGTATTTATGCCAAAACAAAAGTGGACAAAAACACCAGGATGGTGGGAGTAATATTTATAAGCATCTTAGATGGTGGGAGTAATATTTATAAGCATCTTACTATCTTAGTTCTTTAAAATGAGGCTTACACCTCAATATGCTTGGAGGCTTACACAACATACCATGGAAAAAAGTGCCTTAAAGCCGCAATACACTATTTCAAACATTGTATATGAGTGGCTCTTTTTATTTTATTTAATCTTCCACACACTGAACTATGTGATTCGCAGATTGAATCTGAATTCTTACGATTCTATGCTACGAGACACTTCATGTCCCATTTTGATTCATTGCACAATTCACTTTGTTAGGGTATATTTTTGCATTGTAACCCTGCTTCTAACAAATAAAACGATAGTAACTAGAGAGGTTTGCACCACTATGTCTAGCTTGTTGGCTTTTTTTACACTTTTTGTGTGAATAGTTAGTGTCATACATTCATACCATCATTGGAATAAATCAATAGGCTTTGTGTGAGCATTGGAATCGTGCTTAATGTGTATGTTTGGGCATAAGGGATTAGTATGTTCTTTAAAAGTGGTTTATAAGTTCACCTCTCATCTATGCAATAACTCATCCATAAATGTTGTGCAAGGCACATACCAATCCACAACCACCCACTAGATGAACAATGCTCTAGTTTTGGGAAATAAGATATTAATCATATTATACTACCTAATTTTGAGAGACAATAAACTGAAAATTGTGAAAGTTACTTACAAGACAGGCATGCTTCCGTGATGGATGAATGTCAATTGAATGCACAATGCCAGATGTGGTTCCATGATTCCTATACAACAGTAAATGCAATGCAGGTAACATAACTGAAAGTATACAAAGACAAAATGGAAGCTTCAAGACAACAATGAGGATTGAAATCATGAAGTAGATCATAGATCAAAAATAGAAAGACTTAATTTTTCCTGCAAAACAAGTCTAAAGAAGAGAAAATATTACAAGATCACTCATATTTGCGGCAAAACCATAACCCATCACGTTTGAGAGATCTAAAACATCAGTACTAGATTTAAAGAGAACCAGAATTGGATAGACAAAACCAAATTTTGCATACAAAATCCAACCTTTTTTACTATATGAAGGATGAGATTATGTTATGTGTACCCAAGAACAAACCAATGCCTTCACAAGATACCAATTTCAATTTGGATTATTAACTATTCAACTATTACATGTCAACTCATTCTCACTAACACCATTTAATATATGTTGAGCCATTCCCATTTCCCACCATTAACATTGCTTCAACAAATGTAATAGCTCATGTATTAAGCATTTAGAGCAAAGGCTTCAAAATCAAATATAAACATTTTTTAAAAATTCTTGTAAAGCTCAACAGCATTAATTGAAATATGTGGAATAAGTTAACAAAAAAGAACAGTACATTGCTACAATGGCACCTTAAACTAAATGGAAAGTTCTAGTCATGCTTCATTACCAGTCTCTTTTGAAGTGATAAACTGGTCCACCCGGGTGTCTAAGATCCCACCACTGTAGGCTAAACCCTAATCCACCTGTCACGAACTCCACTGGAGAAGCCCACTTAACTGCCTGATATGAAACCAGCCCATTATTGCCAAAAACGTTCTGAAATTTCACTTTCTGGCCGCCTATCCCACCCTCGATGTTGATCATATTCACCTTCCCATCTTCCCCAACGCTAACAACATCGGACCCATTTTCACTGACATCAATCCCCGAGATGGGTCCCGAGTGGAAAGCTTTATCAGATACGGAGGCCTCTACATTTAACGACCCATTCATCAAATCGGCAGAGAGAACCAGGAGAGAGCCAGAAAATGTGGCTGCCGTAATGAGAGATTTATTAGACGTCGGGCAGGATTTCAGGGAAGTAATCCGAGAAGCGGTGGAAAGAGATGATTCTACGGTGAGTTGAGGAATCTCAGCTTCTAAATCGGAATGCAGCGGTTGGGAAAGGGTAAGAAGCTGGAAGGAGGGTGAGGAGGCGTCGTGGTCGAAAGCGGCTAGAATGATGTGGCGGTGGAAGGCGGAAAGCCGGGGGAGCCACCTGAGAGCATCGACGTAATGCCTTTGCGGGTACCGGTGGATTTGGCCTGGTTTTGTGAGCGCCATTTTTAGGGTTTTTCGAGGGTTGAGAAGTTTTCAGAGAACGAAATTAGGACGGGACTTCGAGCTTGCAACCATCTCCCACTGTTTTGGTCAGTTTGGAATTAGTTTAGATTTAGGTACATCCTCGTATTTTTGTAAATTTTGCAAACTTTTTATCTAATGTCATGAACATACATATATGAGAACTATTATATATGACAATGAGTACCAGCAAATTTGAGAAAGAGTATCAGTACTTATGAGAATTATCACATTTTTATTCAATACAAACATGAATAAACCTGGGTTTTAAATTCTCCATGCTCAGAGAGTATAAATGAGTAGAACCAATCGAATAGAGAAAGAAGTTGATAATGGTACTAAACTTTTTAATTGTGAAAAAATTGAACAATACTTTATTTCAGAATGAACATTTCCTTGTTTGAGAATGAGTATTGTTTTTTTAAAGAATGAACATTACGTTATTTATTATAATTATATTAGATAAATGTGTAAAAATGAGTACTTCTTTATTTTAAAATGAGTACTACCTTTGCCAGAATGAGTACTACGTATTTCAAAATGAATGTTTATATTTGTACGAGAATAAGTACTACTTTATTTCAGATTGAGTACTACCGGGATGTACCTATTTCTAGGTACATCCGGATGTACGATATACCAACTCTCGTTCAACTTACTCCTTATTTTTTTTGATATGATTTGATCTTTTTGTAGTTTTGATTTGATTTGGTCTAATTTAATTAGATCTGATCAGATTGAATCTGATCTGATCTCATCTGATCTGATTAATTATGATTTGATTTAAAATTCAAATCAATAATTTGATTTGATTTTATAATAACGTTTGAAAATTGTAATGACAATTCCTACTCCCTCCGTCCCACTTTATAGCATCTGTTTCGGTTTAGATTTTTGACAAAAATTATTATTAATAGAGTTTAAAAATAAAAATTACATATTAAAATACTATATCAAAAGATCTACAAAAATAGTAATGACAATTGTACTTTATTTTATCAAATTACTAACGATAATAAAGAAAGAAAGTGAATAAAGTTTGACCTTGTCAATAGTAAACATACACTATAAATTGGGACGGAGGAAGTATTATAATATAATCAATATTTTTATTTTATGATTATTTTTTAATAAAATAAAATTAGTTAATTCATTTATTAAAATAATCATTCATATTGTAATGTAATAATATTTTTTATTTTATGATTATTTTTTGTGAAATAAGAATATTGATTTAATATTTTAATAATTAGTTCATATATACATTAGAATAAATATTTAATTTATATATACCTTAAGAGCAGTGGAAATGCTCCTAACGCCTACCGGCGTGATGGTGCTTTTCACGCC